GACCAGGACCTCCTTCCCCCTTCCCCACGCGCAACCCGCGTGATTCCCCAAGCCCGATTCTCCCTCCCACCCCATGCGACTTTCCCCCTACGTCCCCCCCCATCATCATCATCATCATCATCATCACCATCATCAATCTACCCGTGCAACCCCCTTTTTAACCGTACCTACCACGCTACCACCCGATCAATCATAGATGGGATCGCCCTGCCCTCGATTTACTTAAATACTCATTTATTCCTCTATTTATTTATTATTATTTTTATTAGAATTCATTCAAAAATACTTTTTTGATATTTCTTTTCCAAAAATATTTTCTTTTTTGAAACTTTTGAAACTTTTGAAACTTTTGAAAGTAAAATTAGTTATTCTTTCTCGGCATTTCTTCCTCTAAATTCAAAATTAATTTTAAATATATATTTTTTAAAATTTTTGTAATTCGAATTAATTAATTTTTTTTTCAACGTTTCTTTTTTGTAATTCGAAAATATCCCTAGTTAATTATTTTTCGGAATTTTTGTAATTGGAAAATATTTAAGAATTAATTAAACTTTTTTCCTTTTCCTAATTCGAATTAATTCTTTTTCGACATTCCTTTGAAATTCGAAACTACTTTTAGTTCATTCTTTTTTCAAAATTTTGAAAATAATTTCAATTATTTATTTTTCTCCTGTATTTGAATTCTTGTGTAGCATCGTGTTCGGGTTTGATTTTTTTTTTTTTTTTTTAATATGTTTGGCCGAACACGTTCAGGGAATGTTCGGGCAAACACCCGAACATGTTCGGACGTTCGGAAAAGCTCCGAACATGTTCGGTGTGCAACACAGTTTAATTCATAAATTTCCCTTTCTGATTTTTTTTCTTGAAATTTGAAAACGCCTTATGATTAATTCTTTTTTGAAAATTATGGAAATTCGGGAATATTTTCGAATTACTTAACCCTTTTTTTCCCCCGAAATTTTCACGTTCTCTTACAAAATCATTCCCCAAAATTAATTTTGGATAAATTTAAAACCCAAATTGGCACTTTTTCTTCGAAACTAATCATTTCTCTTCTTCTTGTAAAATTTTGTTTTGCAAGTTCCTCCTTCGGATCCTTTTTGAATTTCTTTCCAGGACGTATTCTCAAATTAATTTCGAACAACTTTAATTAATTCGAATCGAAATTAATTCATTTGAATTCTTGTTTTGCAAATTTTATTTTTTGGAAATTATCTTCTTTGATAAATCCATTGATGTTGTTCTACCCCTTGTAAATAGGACCCCCTCCCGGGCATGACACACACAACCAGGAACTCTCAACACGCTCAGCCGCCGATTTCTTTTCTTCATGGAAAATTTTGTTTTGCAAGTTCCTGCTTCGGATTCTTTTTGAATTTCTTTTCCAAGGCGTATTCTCAAATTAGATTTGAATAACTTTAATTAATTCGAATCGGAATTAATTTATTTTAATTCTTGTTTTGCAAATTTTATTTTTTGGAAATTGTCTACCCTTGTAAATAGGACCCCCTCCCCGGCATGACACCGTCGTTGTTGCCGCTGCCTCCACCTCATCTACTGCTACCAGCGCTTCCTCCCCCACCATGGCCCAATCGTCCAGCATTGATATGTCTGGCATTCGCACCGACTCCGTCGACAGCATCGCCCGCAACCTTGC